CTGTTGTTCCAAGGCTGTGTCTACATCATTTATTACCTCTGTCCCATTTAGCTTATTCCTACCTGTCTAATTGTTCTCCTATCTGCATTGTTCTTCCATTCCCCTCTCCCTACTTGTATATTGCCCCCCTCCCCAACACCTAACCTATCCTGTGTCTATTCCCTGCCCTGTGCTTCACCCTCCCCTCCTGTCCTTAACCCTACCCCTATGCCCTAGCAACCTGTTAAGAATCCACTTTAGTGAAATAGTATGGGTTCTTTTTCTTAATATTTTACAGTAGTGGTCCTATGCAGTATTTTTCCTTTTGTGATTGACTAATTTCACTCAACATAATGTTCTTAAGGTTCATCCATGTTAGGAAGTGGAATGCAGCTTCCTTGTTATTTTTTAAGGTAGCATAGTACTCCATTGTGAGTATGTACCACAGTTTGTTTATCCATTCTTCAGTTGATGGGCACTTTGGCTGTCTCCATCTTTTTGCTATTGTAAATAGTGCAGCTATGAACATTGGAGTGCATATATCTTCCCGTGTTGTGGCTCGTTTTTCTTGTGGGTAAATACCAAGTAGAGGAATTGCTGGATCAAATGGTATTTCTATTTTCAACCTTCTGAGGAAGCGCCATATTGCTTTCCAGAGAGGTTGAACCATTTTGCAGTCCCACCAGCAATGCAGGAGTGGGATTATGAGAATTTACTAATATGATCCAGAGAGCAAGGTCCAGTCAAAACCATGACTCCCAAAGGGGTTTGCTTGGCCAGTTCAATTCAAGGCTGAAAGGTCAGCTCAGAAAATTATGGCAACTGGTTTGGGATTCCAAAGGGGTTACTCTTGGTAGATTTTCTAAAGGATACAGGACGATCATGCAGGCTTATTATTAAAAAGTTTTCAAAACTTGAAAACTCAGTGGAGAGTCTACCTTCCTCCACGCCCTCTGGATCTAGGTTCCCTCTTGGAAAGCTTGTTCTTCCTAAGCAGTTTTTCTCCTTTTGTGACTGACTAATTTCACTCAATATGTCCTCAAGGTTCATCCATGTTATGCGGTGGCTTGTAGCCTCCTTGTTATTCTTCAAGGTAGCATAATATTACATTGTGTGTATGTACCACAGTTTGTTTATCCATTCTTCAGTGATGGGCTCATGTATTTTTTAAATCATATTTTGTTTCTTTTTGGGGTGAAGGTTTACAGTGAATTGAGTTCCCACTTATCAATGTTTTACAAATTGTCTTGCGATATTGGTTATAATTCTCAAGTTGTGTCAGTATTCTATTTCCATTCTGTTTTTTGTTACCATTTATCTGGGTTCCCTGACCCTCCTTGCCTTCTGATCTTTGCTTTTGGGTTGACTATTTGCTCTCAGGTAGTTCATTGTTTAAGGGACATATTTCTAATACTGACAGTTTATTTATAAACCAATCTATTATTTTGCTTAAAGTTAACCTGTGAGAATGGTTTCAGGTCTTTGTTAGAAGGGTAAGGACAATACTTTTGGGGATTACCCCAGTCTCTTATCAGTCTGGTAAGTCTGGTCTTTTTTATGTATTTGAGTTTTGTTCTAGTTTCCCCCATTCTGACTATGTTCCTGGTCAGAACTGTTGGTAGTGAGAGTCGGGCACCATCTAGTTCTTCTGGTCTCAGCTTAAAAGATGTTATGATTCATGTTGGCTAATAGTCCTGTGTATTAGTTTATTCCTCGAGACTTTGGTTTCCTTCATCATCTTTTACTCCAGATGAATAGAGACTAACAATAGTATCTTAGATTGTAGTGGTTATTATTATGTGATATGAAGTCAATTCTGACTCATAGCAACCATGTCTGTATAGGGTTTCTGAGACTGTAACTCTTTGTAGTTCACAGTCCGTGCTTAGCCTCTAGAGCCACTGCACTCCCGGTATCTTAGATAGCTGCTCACAAACTTTTAAAACAACCCAGGATTTTCAAACTAGGGTGTAGAACATTAACTTTATGAGCTGTTTTATGCCAACTGACTGGTGTGGCGCTGTAGGATCAGCACTGGACTTCAAACCACAAGTTTGGCAGTTCAAACCTACCAGCTGCTCTTTGGAAACCGATACAGGGTCACTATAAGTCAGAACTGACTTGATGGCACCTAACAACAACAAATGCCTATTGACTAAGTTATCCCATGAGATCACGGTTCTAAGTTCTTCAACCCAGTTAACCATTTCTGAGTTGTTTGGAATTCTGGTGTGAGGCTGTAGAATAAAAATTGGATGGCAAGGTTGGTGGTTCAAACACATCAGTCACTCCTTGGAAATCATATACAGGGTTGCTAAGTCAGAACCAACTTGATGGCACTTAACAACAACAACAAGCGCTGTTTACATATGTCTAGGAAATTGCTATATGTGTCTAGCAACTATACCTCCATGAGCTCTATTTTATCTACGAATATATATGCAATACACACAAATATGTATTTATACATGTGGGTTAATGTGCTGAACTATAAGGCTGGTTTGTACTTCAAGGTCGGCGGTTCAACCTCACCAACCTTTCCTTGGAACTGACTCAATGGCATACAACAATAACAAAAAGGATACACCATACTTCTGGTGTGGAGTTATAGGATCAGCACTGGACTATGAACCACAAGATCAGCGGTACAAACCTACCAGCTGCTCCTCGGATATACAGGGTTACTATGAGTTGGAACCAACCTGAAGGCACTTAACAACAAACAACAAAAGATACACCTATAGTCCTGGTGTAGTGTTGTAGGATAAGCACTGGACTGCTAACCACAAAGTTGGTCATTTAAACCCATCAGTCCCTCCTTGACAACTCTATACAGGGTCACTATGCATCAAAAATGACTCAACAGCAACTATAAGTAACAACAACAAAAGATACACCTCTACCTACACATGATGTATTCACAAATGCCTTGGTATAGACATTCATGCATCCACTTATACCTATGTAACCATGAACATATTTCTTTTTTTTACAAACACATATTTTTATTACTACTGTTGCTGCAAAATTGAGTATGTGATAGCATTTACCACATTTGGCTCTTTTTCTTGTGTACTTCTTAGTGCTGTGTGGACATCACCTTCATTTGGTTTTTGTCTTTTCTTTCACCAAAAATAACAAGTGGTGTGGCACTGTAGGATCAGCCCTAGACTGCAAACCACAAGATCAAAGGTTCAAACCCACCAGCTGTGTCTTAGAAAACCTGTACAGGGTCGCTATAAGTTGGAATTGACTCAATGGCATTTAACAGTAACAATCTAGAAAGTGGTTCACCTCACTCACCTTCCCATTGCTGGTAATTATCAAAGAATGTGTCTTTCTATTTGTGTATCTATTCCTAACTTTTTATAACAGTACCCTGCTGGTATTTAAAATACCCGTGGCATAGTTTCCAGCATCACAGCAACATGCAAGCGACCACAGTACAAAAGATAAGTGGTAATAATAACTTTTTTAATAGTTTTTGTTTAGTGCCATCAAGTCAGTTCCGACTTACAGCAACCCTGTATAAGGTTTCCTGGGAGCAGCTGATGCCAGGAACTACGGACTATTGCAGTTCAAACCAATCGTGTGGTCCAGTGCTTATCCTACAGTGCCACACCAAACTCCTTTATAACAGTAGACCACAAAATATTTGTCCTTTTATGATTAACTTATTCAGTATAATGCCCTCTAGAGTCACCCATGTTATAGTTTGTGGACTTCTCATTATTCTTTATAGTTGTACAGTATTCCATTGTGAATGTACAACAGTTTGTTTACCCATTCACCCAATGACAGGCACTTGGGTTGCTTCCTTGTTTTTGCTATTATGAATGAACAATGCAATGAACATTGATGTGCACCACCATTCATTTCTTGACTTGATTACTAGAATAATGGGTTTCCCTATTTACATAATTGCCCACTAGTCTTCTCTCATGTCAGTAGAGTAGCCAGAGTCAGCTGGTTAAATTGTGAGTTCTTATTCTCGTGTAGTGTGTGGGTTGATGCGCTGGACTGCAAAGTTGCTTGAATTGCAAGGTCAGTAGTTCAAGTTCACCAGCTGCTCCTTGGAAACCCTATACAGGGTCGTTATGGGTCAGAACCAGCTAAATAGCATTTAACAACAATAACATTATTCCTTTGCTCCAAACCCTCCAATGGTTTCCCATCTCAGAGTAGCCATGAGGTCCTATATATTTTGACTGTATAATCTCTTATATGGACTGCAAGGTCAGTTTGAACTTCAAGGTTGGCGGTTCAAGCTCACCAGCCACTCCTTGGAAACCTATACAAGATTGCTATGAGTCGGGACCAACTCAACAGCGCTTAGCAACAACAACATTATCTCTTTTACCTTTTATATTCTCCACCTCCCCACTCCTGAACACTTGTCCTGAACCAGCTTTTAGTGAATTCCGTGTTACTCTCAAACACTCCAGGTATATTCTAACTTCAGGATTTTTTTCTTTTTGGTAAGCATTTTTTTCTTATGGCATTTTATTTGGGATATCATTTTCAAAGAACAATACTTTTTTGCCTATTATTATTAAAATGGCTTAAACTGCTAACAAACCCAGGAAGTCCTAACTTGATCAAATTCTTTTAACACAATTCGAAGCTAGTAAACCTTTGAGCCTTTTTTCAAGAGGTAATTTTGGTCATTTAGTAATCTAACAAAGTTTTCCAAATCAACAACCTGAAAGTTTAGCCCTTTGGTGATATATTGAAGTTGATGAAATTGAAATAAATTATTATAAGCTCATTCAGCCATATTGTTCTGAGCAGAAATCAATCATTTTGCTGTTTGTCTTTTATATTAACAATGGTAAACAATTCTCCAACTAGATACAGTAAGTATTCCATTTAAAAATGTCTGTTGAACTTTATTTAAGGAAGTATGCAATTGGCCTTGAAATCACTTAATTCAACACTATTTTTTCATTGAGTCAGATCACTTAATTAAACAAGTCCAAATTTGACAAACAACAATAACTAATTCTAAATAAAAACTACAATCATGATTTGCCTTCTAGGAATATACGTTCTCTCAGATAGTCCATCTGAGCATCCTTTGTTGATAGTGCCATCGAGTTCCATTCAAAATGTGGAATCTATAAAATAAGTAATGTAGCTTGAGTAAAAGTTTTAAATGAACAAAAACAAAATACATCAGGGATAAAACTTACAAGCATTACTGAACAAAGCTGTTGGAACTCTAAGAAATGATACATCACTTAGTCTTTGAATCTCCTATGGACTAAGTGGATCAGCCCTGACACGGCTCCAAAGATCTTTTCTGCCTCACAGTTCTTTTCATCCTTCTGTTTCTAAAATACCACCAATGAACATTTCTTCCTATATAGCTTTCTACCTTTATAAGTCTCTACCCTTTACTCTTAGGGCTATTTCCATAACACCTCCCTCCCCAGGAAGGGAGATCACAAACATTCTAGAGACAATAAAGGAAAGTTGTTAAGTGCCATCAAAGTCAGTTCCAACACAAGAATAGGACATAATTTTTTAAACTTTGTGCTATTCAAAATTAAAAAACCAACAGTAATTTGGAAACTTTCATATTAAAATGATGTACATCTATATGGAGCTATATAGGCGCTCTGGTAGCGTAGTGGTTACGAATCAGGCTGCTAACCTCAAGGTCAACAGTTTGAAACTACCAGCTGTTCCACAGGAAAAAGATGAGGCTGTCTGCTCCTATAAAGATTTACAGCCTCAGAAACCCTGTACAGGGTCACTATGAGTTGGAAACGACTCCACGGCACACAATAACAACATCTATATGAGGTGTGGTGCTGTATGATAACGCGCTGAACTGCAAGTTAGTTTGAACTGCAAAGTCAGCAGTTCACACCCACCAGCCACTCCTTGGAAACCCTATACAGGATCACTATGAGTCAGAACCAACTCGAAGGCATTCAACAACATCAACATATGAGAGGGCTTCAAAATGTATACAAAAAACTCTATTCTCTTTAATTCCATTAATTTTTAAAATTTCCTCAAAGCCTGTGACTGTTTTAACTTTTTTTTTTTTTTTAAGAAGCTAAATTACATGAGTATTCCATACCTGAATTACACGATAGCCCAAAATTTCCAAGTGTCGTTTTTTCATGGCTGATATTCCCTTTAAGTGAGGGATGTTTCTACAAAAAGCTTTTGAATCCAAAAACTGCAAAGCAATCCTACATAAAACAAAAATATTTACTTCTAAAAGTTGAATGAGATACTGAATAATCAGAAACCTTTCAGGAATAAGAGTACATCCTTATTAATTAACAAACATCAAAGGAGTAAAAATGAGTATACCAAGACGTCTTCAGTACTTCAGTGGGATTGCTAGGCTTTGAACAACAAAGGATGGACATTCCAAGGCAAAGGCACAAGCAAAGCAAAGGTACAGAGGTAAAATGCTTGACAAATGAGGAGCAGGTTCACCTTGATAATGGAGTTCATTCAATTACGCCATCTAACAATCAGACAACCAAGGCTACAACTAAGTAATAAGTTACCTTTCAACTCCTGGTGGAAGCCTTGATCCAGCTATTTGGATGTTTGATTTCCAGTGCACATCTGGCTCTTTTCCCAAATTTTTATGGCTTACATAGGGAAGAGGCTTTTTTCTCTTATCTAAGACACACTCAAAATCTATAAGGAAGTATAAAAACCAGTGGTATGAATGAGGTAAATAATGAAAGAAAAAGTTTAAGTATATTTACATCAAAATAAAAACAAGTAGAACTCCAGAAACTGTTGTCCTGAGATAATCTCTAAAACGTAAACCAAAAATATCCCTCGTAGTCTTCTTAAAATCAAACAATTGTTTAGCTTAGTTTGTGGTTGTTAGGTGCCATTGAATTAGTTTCAACTCACAGTGACCCCGTATAGGGTTTCTGAGTGGCTGGTACGTTTGAACCACCTACCTTGTGGTTCAAAATGACTTTGTGGCTCTGTGCTTATCCTACAGCACACCAGGATTCAGCTTAACTACTTAAAAACAAGGCCTGTCTTGAGCATTATGCTCTTTTAAGAACTACCTGTATAATAGATCTGGAACGAATCTCAACTCCATGGCTCAATTTTCAGCCAAACATAGGCCTATAAGGGGAACAGTAACACTAGTGAGGTCTGCATACCTTAGAATAACCAATCATTTGTGATCTAAAGGGAAGCCTTTACACAAGGGCAAAGTTTAGAAGGTTAGGAAAGATGACAGAATGGAAACAGGAAACATAGAGAGGATGCAGGGTAAGTGAGGCTATATTGAGGGAATAGCAGTCAGTGAGAGGGAACAAAATGTGTATGAATGTATGAATTGCACATGCATACAAAGCGATTAAAAATACCATGGCTTGGGTCAGGTGTACCTTAGTTCTCAAAACTGATGATCTGGCTCTGTAAATCTTCAACCAATTCACAATAAAAAAAAATTGAAAATAATAAAGATCTATATGGAAGCAGGAGCCCTGCTATGGGCTAAGCACCTGCAGCTCCACAGTAGAAAGATGAGGCTGGCTGCTCTTGTATAGATTTACAGTCTCAGAAACCCTAAGGAGCGGTTTTCCTCTGCCCTATGTATATAGGACTGCTATGAGTCAGAATTGACTCAATGGTAGCGGGTGTATATGGACTCAAACTGACAACTACTGTTGTTGTTAAGTGTCACTGAGTTGGTTCCATTCAATCACCATCCTCTCTTCTAAGGTGTATTCTGGCTGTAGTTCCTCCAAGACAGATTTGTTCATTCTTCTGGAAGTCCATGGTTTATTTAATATTCCTCACCAACACCATAACTCAAAGGCATCAATTCTTCTTCAGTCATTGTAACTCACTGTCTAGCTTTCACATACATACAAAGTGATTAAAAATACCATGGCTTGGGTCAGGTGTACCTTAGTTCTCAAAATAAGATTTTTGTTTTTCAACACTTTAAAGAGGTGTTTTGAAGCAGAGCTGCCCAATGGAATACATCATTTGATTTCCTAACACCTGTTTCATGGATATTGACTGTGGAACCAATTAAATGAAATCCTTGACAACTTCAGTCTTTTCTCTGCTTATTATGATATTGCTTATTGGCCCAGTTGTGAGGATTTTTGTTTTATATTGAGAAGCAATCCATATCAATGAGTTCTGATGTAGCACTGAAGAATAAGCACTGACCTGCTAAGTGCAGATCGTTCAGATCCACCAGCCAATCCTCAGAAACCCTAAAAGGGTCGCTATGAGTTGGAATCAACTCAATGGCACTTAACAACAATAACAATCCATACTGAAGGTTGTAGTCTTCGATCTTCATCAGCAAGTGCTTCAAGTCCTCTTCATTTTCAGCAATCAAGGTTGTGTCATCTGCATATTGCAGGTAGTTGTTAATGAGTCTTCCTCCAATCCTGATGCTGTGTTCTTCTTCATGTATGCTAGTGTCTCAGATTAACTGCTTAGCATACAGACTGAACAAATATAGTGGAAGGATACAACTCTGATGCACCTTTCCTGGTTTTAAACCATACAGTATCCCCTTGTTCTGTTTGAACAACTGCTTCTTGGTCTATGTCCAGGTTCCTCATGAGCACAATTAAGTGCTCTGGAATTCCCATTCTTTGCAACATTATCCATAATTTGCTATGATCCATACAGTCCAGTGCCTTTGAATAGTCAATAAAACACAGGTAAACACCTTTCAGGTATTCTCTGCTTTCAGTCAACATCAATTTATATTATAAGATCTGGTCTAATGGAACCCCTACTTGAAAAATCCATTAATAAAAATCAACCAAAAATTATTACCACAGTTTTTATTTAGCACTGCATCAGGACAAATCATATTAGAGAGCGTATTTTAACCCCCTTATGTTGTTGAACTGGTGTAGCACTGTGGGTTAATACGCCAGACTGCAAAGCTGTTTGAACTGCAAGGTTGGTGGTTCAAGCTCACCAGCTGCTCCTTGGAAACCCTATGTCACTATGGGTTGGCACTGACTGGATGGCACTTTACAATAACAATATCTTTGTCACCTGTGGAGGAAGCTAAGCCAACTCATCTGAAAACTAGCAAAGACAAAGATTCAAGTATTTATCCTATCTTTTCCGAATAAAGTGAATATAAATTTAAATAGTAGGTATGTGAAAGTTCTTTTTAGACAAATTCCAGCTAAGAAATGCAGAACAAATGAAAGACACAGAATACCACTCCAAATGAATGACAAGCACACACAACAAAACCTACTGCTGTTACTAGATTGGGACATATGGTGGGTGCCCTTATAGGATAGAGTAGAACTGTTCTCTAGGATTCCCCAGACTGTAAATCCTTATGGAAAGCAGAATGCCTCCTCTTTCTTCCAAAGAGCAACTAACTAGTGGGTTTGAACCATTGATTTTGTAGCTAGCAACCCAATACTTAACCAACTGCACCACCAGCGATTCTTAATGGATGACAGAATTAGGCAATCAATGATCACTGTTGTTGTTAGGTGTCATCGAGTCAGTACCAACTCATAGTGACCTTATGCACAGCAGAACAAAACACTGCCTGATCTTGGGCCAACCTCACTATTATTGCCATGCTTGAGCCCATTGATGCTGCCACTTAGCCAATCCATCTCACTGGGGGTCTTCCTCTTTTTCTCTGATCCTCCACCCTACCAAACATGATATCCTTCTCCAGAGACTGGTCTCTCCTGATAATATGTCCGAAGTATGAGAGATGAAGTTTGGCCATCCTGGCCTCCAAGGAGCACTCTAGCTGCACTTCTTTCAACATAGATCTGTTGGTTCTTTTGGCAGCCCATGGCACTTTCAAATCTCTTCCAATAGCATAACTCAAAAGTATCAATTCTTCTATGGTCTTCCTTATTCACTGTCCAACTTTCGAATGCATTTGAGGTTACTGAAAATACCAAGGGTTGGGTGGAGTTCACCTTAGTCTTCAAGCTGACATCTCTGCTCTTCAACACTTTAAAAAGGTCTTGTGCAACAGATTTGCCTAATGCAGTACGTCATTTGATTTCTTGATTGCTGCTTCCGTGAGTGTTGATAAGTTGACTCAAGAAAAACAAAGTCCTTGACAACTTCAGTCTTTTCTCCATTGAAAAGAATGGTGTTTATTGGTCCAGTAGTGAGGAATTTTGTTTTCTTTATATTGAGATGCAATCCATACCAAAGGCTGTGCTCTTTGATCTTCATCAGTAAATATTTAAGTCCTCTTCACTTTCAGCAAACAAGGTTGTATCATCTGCATATCGCAGATTGTTAATGAGTCTTCCTTCAATCTGGATGCCATGCTTTTCTTCATATAACCTAGCTTCTCGGATTATTTGCTCAGCATACAGGTTGAATAAGTAGGTTAAAGAAGACAACCCTGTCACACAACTTTCTTAATTTTAAACCATTCAGTGTTCCCATTATCTGTTCGAACAACTGCCTTTTGGTCCAGGTACAGATTCCTCATGAGCACAATTAAGTGTAAAGGAATACTCATACTTTGCAATGTTGTCCATAGCTTGTCATGATCCACACAATCGAAAGCCTTTGCATAGTCAATAAAGCATAGGTAAACATCTTTCTAATATTCTCTGCTTTCTGCCAAGATCAATCGGACATCACCAATGATATCCCTCGCTCCATGGCCTCTTCTGAATCCAGCTTGAACGTCTGGAAGTTTTCTGTCAATGTATGCTTGTAGCCGTTTCTATATTACTTTTAGAAAAACTTTATTTATGTGGGATATTAAAGGTATTGTCTGATGATTTCCGCATTCCATTTGGAATGGGCACAAATATGGATCTCTTTCAATCAGTCGGCCAGATAGTTGTCTTCCAAATTTCTTGGCATAGATGAGTGAGTGTCTCCTGTGCCACCTCACTTTCTTGAACGATTTCAAATTTTATTCCATCAATGCACTTAGGACTTCTTCATTCAGTATCATTGGCTCTTAATCATATGCTACCTCTTGAAAGGGTTGAACATCAACCATTTCCTTTTGGTACAGTGACTCTGTGTAGTCCTTCCATCTTCTTTTGATGCTTTTTGCATCATTCAATAATTTGCCCAGAGAATCCTTCAATAATGAAAGTATAGGCTTGAATTTTTTCTTCAGTTCCCCCAGCCTGAGAAATGCTAAACATATTCTTTCTTTTTGGTTTTCTGACTCCAGATCTTTGTACATTTTGTTGTAATATGTCTTTATCTTCTTAAGCTGATCTTTTAAAATTTCTGTTCAGCTCTTGTGCCTCCTCATTTCTTCAATTTGCTTTAGCATTTCTACGCTGGAGAGCAATTTTCAATGTCTCTTCTCACATCCATGTTGATCTTTTCCTTCTTTCTTTTCTTCTTAATGATTTTTTGCTTTCTACTTGTATGATGTTCTTGATGTCATCCCACAACTCTTCTGGCCTTCGGTCTTCAATGTTTAATGTTTCAAATGTGTTCTTCAGATGATCTCTAAATTGAGGTGGGCTATAGTCAAGGAGCTCTAGTAGCGTAGTGGTTACGAATCGGGCTGCGAACCTTAAGGTCAGCGGTTCAAAACTACCAGCCGCTCCGCGGGAGAAAGATGAGGCTTTCTACTCCCGTAAGGATTTACACCCTCGGAAACCCTGTACAGGGTCGCTATGGGTCGGAACCGACTCGACGGCACTTAACAACAA